CCCAGCCCAGTCTTCTGCGGGCGGGGAGCCCCAGGGCCGCCCGGCCCGTCCCCGCCCCCCGCCCCGTTACTCCCGGGGCGCCGCCGGCTGCGGCTGTCCCTCCAGCACCGAGTTCCCGCCGGTGAAGACGAACCCGCAGGCCGTGAGTTGTAAGGGATTTGCTTCTGCTCGCGGTGCGCACGGCGGGTCGAGCCTGCGCGGCGCCCGAGCCCTGAGGTGCGCCTTCGCCCCCTTTGCAGCAACACCAGCGGGGTCCCACCGCTACCCCCCACTTGCAAAGCAGGGAGCTGAGGCCCAGAGGTGCAACTAAATCGCTGAAAGTCGCGGAGAGAGCAAACCGCGTGCTTCTGGACTGTTATCTTTAAAGTATTAGCACACGAGCAAAGCAGAGTAAATACTGCCGATTTTCATAACGCTGAAGTGGGATGTAAAATGTGCTGGAAGGTGCATGCTGGTGAAGCGGGTGGCACTGCATTTTAGAGTCCCCGCGCCTGCGGAGGGCGTGTCCTTGCCAGCAGGGAGCTCACACCTTTCAGCCCTGTCCTGGGTTTTGCAGCTGTGCGGCCCCCACGGCCCTGCTCAGCAAACTAGCCCTGGCCTGGGGAAGGGTTTATTGCAGCAGCGTCGCTCAGCTCTCCATCTCAGACAGCTAGATTCGGTGATCTGTGAGCTGACTGTTCGCTTAGGCCCGCCCAATTGTGTTGAAAGCAAAGAATGGAAAACCACCTGCCCTGCCAAAGAATTTTACTTGTCTTTGTTCTTTAGTGTTTGTTTCCCCCCCTCGGTTTCCGGGGAATATACCAAATAGGTTTTTAGTAGGATTTGAAGTAGACCATTTTCCCCCGCTCTGCCCCCATCCCCACCCCCCATGAGGTGTATCCTGTTTAACCTGATATACTCAGACTCTGGGGAAAATCTGAAGGTGAAGTTTTGGATAAAATGCTTTTTGTTGTTGTGGGTAGGTGGTTCGGTTTTCTTTTTGCCAGAACTTTGCAGCTAATGATATAGCTCATTCAAGGTGAAACTGTCAAGTATGAAAAATGTTTGTTGTATAACCTGATTAACATCAAACTAGCCAAATTGGATTTACTTTCCCTCAGAAAGAGTCTGACATAATTGCTTCAATTCCAACAGCGTGTCGTGCATTTTGAGGAGTATAATGAAGACTGCAGAGAGACAGCCATGGAATGAATCTTAAAAGATTTTATTACTAAAAGCAATCAAGATTAAAATGGTGTAAGATATAATTATTTTACTCATTTTCAAAATTAGTTATGAAAACTAGATGGGAATGTGACATGTTTTGCCCTTCACCTAATTACCAACAATGCAATATAACATGTTGCTAAATGTTTATGTTATTTATGAAGTGTGTGGTATGATAAAAGGCTTGGTATTTTCCCTCGTGTATATAGATGTATCAGATTTATTTGGATATTTGGGAATAACTAAGTAAGAATCAACCATAGAAATTTAGCCAATCTCCTCAAATTTGATTAGGCGTAACGATCAAACTTTTAAAAAAATCATAAAACAATAAGGTATTTGCTGCTAAAAATGAATTGGTTCAGTGACTAGAAAATAATTTTATGTTTGTGAACAGCATATAGAAAATCTTAAGTATTTTTGAAATTGTAAGTAAGGTGAGAATTGATTATTAAATAGATAATTCCGAATTGATTTTATAAAATGTACGTTAACGACCTTATTGAGTAATACACACTGAATATGAATAAATAAGGTAATATTTGTATCCATGACTTCAAGTGACACTGGGCACACATACTGGGTTTAGGGTAAGATGAACAATTTTGTAGCCTTAGGAAACATTCTAGTTGCAGTGAGAAGAATCAGGGTCACTGATCTGTGCTGCTTCCACTGTTCAAAGACCCTTTTCTTTCCACCTGAAGGCAGGTCCCAGGGATGAGTACTGTGGATACCTGGGGGGAAAATAGCACACATTTAAACCTTTTTTTAAAAAGTAGTCCATTCATCTTTTCCTACCAATGACATCTTTGCTTTGTTCTCTCCTCTGTTTCTTTAAGAAGAGTAATATAATATTTGACAATAGAGAAGGTAAGAAAGAGGTGGGGTCTTAAAAAATAATGGCCGTTGCTCCCTGCCTTCCTGCCTGCTCCGATGAATTCAGAGCATCTCGAGGATCCAATATGCTCTTCCTGAACACAGCGTAGCTCTTATTTTATTTCCTAAGTCTGATGCTCTGGTGGCAGCTAAGTAAACTTTACAAACGCGTTGGGAATGATGGAACTATGGCAGCTTCATTATTACGGCCCTCGCTGTGGTTGCCCTAGGTATCCTTGGACACCAGACTCCTTCCAGCCAAGTATCTGACTCCTGCGGTTTCTTTCTACAGTCCAACCTGAGCCCCATTCCCTGGGGCCACTCCAGTGAAAGTCAAACGCTGGCTTACAACAGGATGATCTCCTGACCCCTGGGAGCCCATCCCCCTCTTAGGCTGTGGTTTGTTCCCTTTTCCTTACTCCAAACCGCCCTCGGCCCACGCTGGCATAATCAAAGGGCTGATTATTTCCTAAATGCCTCATCAACCCAAAGTCCAGTTGAAACTTTAAAAGTTCACTTTTTCCATAATAACAGAACACATCCTTAGGAGGGGTTCAAACCATTAACTGTTTCTGTAAGAGGAAGGGAGGGGAGGGAGAGGAGAGAATGTATTATTTGCCTTTGCAAAGCAAACTCTGTGGTCTCAGCTCTTTCTCTATGTCTACTGCAGAATGAAATAGCTGTAGAAGGTGGAGATCGTGGCTGGGCGGGGAAGATGGTAACTGGGCAGGGCATTATGCAGTGTTAATGTGGGAGGGGGATCGCTTTTTCCCCTGAAAGAACTTGAAAGAGTTGTCACCTGTTGTGGGGTCAGGCCATGGATAGGAGGGTGGCCCAGGGAAGTGGCAGGGTGGAGAGGGAGCAGTGGTTCCCTGCTAGTGACCAAGAGTAGTGGTGCTTGGGAACTGTAGCTGTGTGAGCAGGTGTTCCCCGAAGGTGCTGCAGAATTGAAGGGGGCAGATGAGTCCTCCCTGGTGGGAAATAGAAGATGGGTTTGGGACAGCAAGAGAGCAGCAATGGCATCAGAGAACAAGGATTGGGTTTCCTAAGCCCCTGGGACATTGGAGCGGGAACTCAAGAGCAGGAGAAACCTCATGATGTGGGGAGGGGACTGGGGGGCTCTCTGGTGAGGTGGGACACATCCATCACCTTAGTTATTCATACTTCATGTAATGGGAGAGTCCTGTGGGTAATCAGCAGTTTGTCGTGAGCAAGGGAGCTTGCAGGAAAGGAGTCGCTCACCCGTTTGTGTCTTCCCACAATGCCAGGTGTATTAGGGGAGACTCCCCAGTAGGCCAACAGAGTTACAGGCAGGTTACAAATGGAGACGGGGGAGGGCAGGGTTACCCAAGCAGAGCCAGCATCCAGTGTGAGGTCCTGGTCCCATAGCCATTTGCAGTCTGATGGCTGCTTGTGCTGCAAGGCCAGAGTTGAGACAGACTGTTTACTGCGTGGCCCTTCACAGAAAAAGTTTGCCAACCCTGGACTCAAAGGGGGAAGCAGAGGTGTGGCTGTGAGCCTGGAGTGGGAACCTCCACCTTTCAGTAGATGACAACTGCTTCTCGGAACAGTGGAGGTAAAGCCTGATTCTCAGAATAGCAAGGAGTGAGCCAGGTTGTAGAAATGACAGTGGTTTGTCATGCTGTGCAGATGAAGTGAATTATTAAGAATGAGTGGAGTTTAGACAAAGAGGGGAAGCCCTGAAAGTTGAGGAAAGAGCAGATTAAAGGAAACAGTCAAAGTCAGAGTTGGCTTTTGTGTTGGGCTCTGGTCATGCCCTGAGTGGGGACAGAGTCAAGGCAGAAAACCAGGTCTAGTGTGGTCCTGGAGGCCCTTGATGCATTTCGTAAATGTTCATTTAGTGCAATAAACAATGATCTCAGCAAAGGCTCATATGCGTATTTTATTTCTGTTAGCAATGTTGATGCAGCTCATCGATTCATATTAAACTGTCCGTTAACACTCTTGCAGATTCGCCACCTGGTGAAGAAGCCGCTCCTGGTTTTGGGAGAAGCAGTGGGTGTGCTGAGATGGAATTCGAAACTGTGAGTTTCCTTGCCAGTGTTTAGGGAGCTCTGGTGGTTCCCTTAAGTGATCAATTGCCTTTTTGTCATATTTTCATTGCATTCTTTCTAGTTTGAACTTTTTTTTTTTTTTTTTCCAGAAGAAGATACTTCTTTTATGTAGATAGCATGACTTTTTTCATATTTCTTTGCTTTTGAGATTTAGTCTTCTGGTAGTGATAGCAATCGAATGAACAAAAGTAAGATGTTCTGAAGGTAAGTAGCCAGTAGCTATCGATGTTACTGAGTAGCTGGCTCTTTTGGTCATTGGGATGGCAGTGAGGCAGATGGCTTTGTTATACCATAGGAAAAGCCTAACACTGATGAAGAGTCTATTGATCCATCCCTAAGACTGCCCCCAAACGCCCAGCCTTTAAAACCCCTGAAAATGAAGGTCCCGACTTGGCTGTCTTCCAGGGACCATGCCCGTGCCATTCCCTCCCCCCTCTCCCTCCCCCACAGGCATGTATCCTCTAACCTCTAAGGGACCCAGTAAGACTTGCAACCAGGGGAGCAGTGGGCAGCGGCAGTTCCTCCCCGGCTAACCCCCTGAACCTGTCTCCAAGGACCCTTTTCCCCTTTTCCTCTGACTTCCCAGGGAGCCAGAGCAGCCCAGCCCGGCTCTCCTATTGCTTCTCCTATCCCCTTCCTTGTTTCATTGTCTTAAGTATGTTTTTGCTACAGCCAATAAATTCTTGCTTGTTTTTTTACACTTTGTCTCTTGATTGAAATCTTTCCCTCAAGAGGACAAGAACTGAGGTCTCCTCTCCATCTGCCTGGTAACAGCTTGAGATAAAAGATATTCCTTTATATGCTTATAAAGAAGGAGAGGAGCTTTGCCTTGAAAGAGTTAGTCTTTGAGAACATTGCTTTTATTTTAAAAATAGCCTTAATGCGTGTGTGTTTCTTGAATATTCTAGATGGTACGCAGTGCCCTGAAACTAAAAGTCATACCTCCCAGAATGAAATCAGGCAAAGTAGGGATGAAAGCAGGATCTGAGGAAATGGTGTGATTATCAGAGCACCCCCAATCCAGTCCAGGTCGCCTGGGCAGACTTCTGAGAAGGATGAGTGTGCCTAAGTAATGAGAATATTGTGCCTTGGAAAAAGGAACCTCTTTGGAGGGGAGATGGCTGGCACAGCAGGTAGGGAAGGGAGGGACCCAGAGGGCCTAGAATGGGCATTGTCCATGTGGAGAGCACGCGTTTGCTACTAGGCGCCAGCAATTAAGATCATCTAGTTCATTCCTCCTCAGACTCCGGTCCTTAGGCAACCTCTGGGTCAGGTTTACGTTTGTCCATAGGAAGAAAAAGTCTATTCAGCAAACACACGGAGCACCCCCTTGGTGGTTGCTCTCCCTGGGAATGGTTCGTACGCATGAGGCTCGAAGAGCATGGTCAACTGGAAACTGCCTGGGGCTCAGGTTCATCTTCCTTGTAGGGATGCTCACCTTCTGGCTGGAAGGACTGAAGGCTGTTCACTGTGGTGAACAATTGAAGTACAGCCGTGGGGACCAGCCTGGGCAGCCAGCTGGCCTCTCTCAGGTGATGTCTAATTTTATTGGCTTAAATGGCATCATTTAAATTTTTATTGTTTTAAATTCAAAAGGCAACTATTACACTGGTAACTCAACTAACATCCTTGTAGAGAGCCAGGAAAATGCACAGGTCCACTGGCAACAGAGAATAGTCTCGAGAAATGCCCCTACCCAATCCACGCTGCACCAGTTAGGGCTGTCCTTGGGAGCTTTGAAGGTAATTGATGTCCCTACGTGGTGACAACACTGTAAGCGGGTGTCTAGAGGAAGGAATCAACCACCAGACCTTCCGCTATGAGGACAGAGCCAGGCTGTGGAAGAAAAGAAATCTGCCAACCCACAGAGTGAAGCACAGAGATGGAGAACAGAGGCCCCGTGCCCTCCACGTGTCCCGAGACCCACTTGTACCCCCTTACCCATCACTTGATGATGCCAGACAAACTCCAGAAAAGCATCCTAACTAATAAAGCCTCTCGTTCACTATGGAATGTGCCTGGTGATGGTGATGGGGGGGTGCCGACATGGGAAGGGGTAGCGAACATGTGTGCCAGGGAGCCTGGTGAATGTCATTCGTCACTTTTTGCCCCTCTGTAAACAAATGGAGCCTTGGCTTGATGCTTCCTACCAGCCAATGCTGGCATGCACAGGGCAATGCAAACCTGATACGCACCCAGTCAGGTGGGTTGCTCTTTTCTCATTGATTTTTTATTGATTTTTTATTGCTTCTTTTAGAGAGAGAGGAAGGGAGAAGGGGTAAGAGAGAGAAACATCAATGTGTGAGTAAAGCATTGATCGGCTGCCTCCTGCATGCCTCCAACCAGGGATGAGCCCATGACCCGGGCATGTGCCCTGACCGGGAATCGAACTAGCAACCTTTTGGTACATGGGATGGTGCCCAACCAACTGAGCCACACTGGCCAGGACCAGATGGGTTACTCTTTTCCTGTTAGTGCCTCTGTCACTTCAGCGAGGCCGTGGATTGAGTGGGGACATCTCTTTCAGAGCAAGAGCTCTCTTGCTAAAACAGATTAGATTCAAGAGTGATGCCCATGGAGTTGAACCCTATGTGCCCTGAGATATCAGAGTCAGTTGGAAAAAGAGAAGGTAGGCTCACTTCTTGAAATGATGTTGAATAAAAATGCTCATCGGTAATCATTTCAGACAACAAACACTGAAGTAATGATTGTACTTTTCTGGATTTAAGTACAGAAGTTGGGCACTTAAAGTTCTCGCCGCTCTTTCTGTGACAAGAGTGAGAGACCACAATCACAAGGTGAAATTCAGGTCAGCATGAAAACAAAATAATAAAAGACTGAGGAATGGCCAAGGCTTTTTTTGATTAAATATACATTTGAATTTCTGCTATTTGAGGTCATTATAAATACATACTCACAAGTGGTAAATATGTTGAACAACTTAGAATGGTGGTTAAACAATTAAGAGAGCATCTGTGCTGTTCCCCAAACTCAGAACTCTTCAACAAGATAATACAAGAGTAGTTGGATCACGCAGCAACGCGGGCAGAGCGGGAGGAAGTGTGCGTGTGCGTGTGGAAGGTGCCGGGATGGGCTGAGTTCATCTCTGCTGGAAGGCGGCCTTGAACCTAGCTTTGGAAGAAGTGACAGATGCTGGGCAGGCAGCAGGAAGGGAAGGCACGAGCAAGCCGCTAAGTAGCTTAATATTCAAGGTCAGTCGTAGACAAGATGTATGCGTGCAATTATAGGCATGTTCACTCCCCAAGTGGGCTTTTTTCTTAATTTTGATTTGCATAGAACAGTAGACAGCCCTTTGACTAGTGAATGTCAGAGGCACTAATTTAAATTTAAGCCTAAAGCAAGGGCAGATTTATTTCCATTTCCTAGACTAAGTGTATAATACATGAAGGGGGAGAGTGGGTGATGACTCTTATTTTTGTAATGACAGCGAGGTGGAGCCACAACTGGGTCTGCATTTCAGATTTGCCGTCTTCCAGGTTGATGACCTCGGGCACATTGCTCAACCTCTCTGCATTTGTGAGATAGAAAAAATAAAAGATCTACCATACGGTTTTGGGGAGGATTGACTGAGATCATTTATTCATTCCTCAAATATGTTTTAGGCTCCTAACATGCACCCACAACAAGTGGGTGAGAAAGCAGGTGAGCAAGGCCTGCAAACCCTGTCTGGCCAGTGCCTTCATCCTCGTGGAGTTAGCTGGTCAGCAAACAAATGCACAAATGAAGTATGAGGCAGAGATAAGGGCTCTGCAGAAGCTTACATAGGGTGATGGGATGGAGGGCAACTGGGTAGCAACTTGCATGTTAGGGGAAGCCTTTCTCAGATCTGAATGTCCTGGTGAAGCCGGCCATGGGGAAGAGGAGCCTCCCTGGCAGGGAGCACAGCAAGTGCTAAGGTCCTGGGGTGGAAATCGGCTTGATGTGCTTGAGAAGCAGATACCAGGTCATTGAGATGAGTGCTGGGCAAGGGGTGGAGTGGCAGCAGATAGGATCAGAGCACATAGGGTTTTGGCAGCAAGGACGGGATGTGTTTTGTCTCGAGAGCAATGACAACCCCTGGAGAAGTTTAAACAGGTGGATGACCTGGTTTCATCGTGGACGTGAAGTGCTCACCACTGGTTCTGGTGCAGGATAAACACTCTGTACCTGTTCACGGCGGCTGCCGGTTCCCTGGACCCTCACCGCAGCCCAGTGTGGGGGCTCCTGTGAAAGGAAATTATTCCCAATTGGATCGGGGCAGAATGCTGTGGGCCGATGGGATTCTCAGCCCTTTTGGGAAGGATCTCGCGTCCCTGACGAAGCACTGGAGCTTTTTCCTGAGAGAATCCAATGCAACTGGGAGTCCTGCTGGGAAGGCGGATTGACTCCTCAGACTCTAGTCCATGGCTGTGCCTGATAATTTTTAACCAGATAGCAAAGGTGCGGCGAATGCCCTCCACGCCTGATGTTATCCTAATAACCTTGAGCCAGGTGTTCCTTGTTTAGAACTCTAGCTGAGCGATATGCATTAAGTCACATTTGTTTTCCTCCCTAAAGTGCATCTTTGAATTCGTTTATTTTTCTGAAGTTTTTTCCCTTGCCAACATGCTTGAATTAAAGTGTGGATACAACTGAAAAATAAATAAAATGTGGATACATGTTCACGCGCCGTTCATCTCAGCAGCTGCTCTGACACCATCGTTAATGTCACCATTCTACAGATGAGGAAACTGAAACTTACTAATGTTCAGTCACCAGATCAGTTCCACAGGTTTCCGCCCAGCTTCCCACTACACCTCCCCAGGAAGACCAGACTCAACCCAACCCAGTGTCCTAGGAGGAAGCGAAGGTCACCTGAACCCGAGGGAAGGCGTAGGTCCCAGGTCTCACACTAGTAATAAATGAGAGCTTTAATTGAAATTATATTATTTGCTGGACATTCACAGGCACTCAGAGGGCCCCTGCCCTGGAGTCACTTGTCGGGTGCTGGTTCTGCGAGGCCTCACACCTCTGGTGATGTCAACCCAGGAACCGAGCTGGCCCGCGTCACCTGTGCCACCAGATGGTGCGCTCTCTACCTGAGCTCCTCGCTGGGAGCCCTGGCGGGGTGATTCCTGGTGCTCCCAGCCACACTGGTGGTACCTCAAATGCCCGGAGCTTGACGAGTTGGAAGTGGGGGAAAGAAACCCTTTCTTGAAATCTGTTGATTTGGCCTGGATGGGTTTTCGCAAACACGCTGGAGGAATACTTGGTGTCTCCATGAAAATTCACTGCAAGGATATTTTAACACGTAGGGCGCTAATGTCTTTAGGGATCTTTCTGTTCTGTCTCAGTTCCTTTTTCATCATTCTCCAGAATCCTCTAGGCCACAGGTAAGATAAAATTAACAGGAGATCCGCAGTCAGAGCTGGATTTGACACATGATTCTGCTGCTTCTCTGCTGAATGACCTTGGACTGCTCACTT